GAGGAGGAGGAGGTGGGTCGTGCGGCCGGGCAGAGGGGGAAGGAGAGGAGCAGGGCCGGCCTCGCCGCGGCCCCCGGAGCCCCCGCGCCGCCGCTCCCCTCACCTGCCGCCGCCGTCGCCGCCTCCTCCTCCTTCTTCTTCTCCCTTCCTCTTTTTCCTCCCCCTCTTGTCCTCCTCTCCTCGCCCCCCCTCCCCTGCCCTCCCCACTCTCCCTGTCGGGCTCCCCCCGCCCTCGCTCCGCCTCGGCAGCTCTGCCCGTATTGTATGTTCCGATGGCGATGGCGGCTGCTGCTGAGGGGGGCGGCAGGGGCTTCCTCCCGCTCCGCACATACCGCCTCTAGGAGGAGTCACTGCAGCCCGGGCCCACAACAACCCCCCTCTCTCGGCTGCCGCCCTCCTTGCCCGGGCCCCAGGGCTGCAGCGGGGGCAGGAACCCCCTCCCTGCCCAGCTGGGAAAGGGTCCCCTTGGCCCCGGTCCCAGCGGGCTTGTGGCGGTCGGGAGCATAAAGGCAGAAAGCCTTCCCATCCTTTCCCACGGTGGGGGAGTTTGGAGACGGGAGAGGTTTTAAGGCAACCCCAGTTTGGGCTAAAGCTCGTGAGTCGCCTGTTTTTTGTTGCAGGGAGCCACCCGTCCCTGTCCCTTTTAGCAAGGTGACCTGCGTGCCTCCAGCCCAAATATTCCAGCATCCCCAAGCCGGCTGGGAACGGCCGTAACAAAGAGTGCCGGCGGCTCTTTGTGTCGTCTGGCGTTCCGGGCGCTCGCAGGCTTTCCAACTCATCCACGGGGGCTGCAAACTTCCCTTCTGAACGAAAGCTGAGGGCTTTGCTTCTCTTCCCCGCAGTCACACGGATTCAGGAGCTTGAACTGCGAGAGACGCAATAAGCGATTGTGTTACGAGCCTTGGCAGCGCCAAATCCGTGAGCACGGGATGGTGCAGACAGAAGAGTGCAGGTTACCTCTAACTCAGGTACATTGTTATATGAAACTGGGTTTATATCATCATGCCTGTACAAATACTTTGCGTCGTTGCACCAATTTCACAATAAAGACATTTGAGGGCTACTGTAATGCACTAGGAGATACATTATTAACCCAGACCATTCCAACCCTCGGTGTAACTTCAGGAGGGTGTCTGGGAACAACAGAGTGATAAAGAGTCATCCATGCTTTCAGCTTTCCCTTTGTTGCTGTAAAAAAATCATACAGGTTCGCTGGAGTTTGGTTTTTGGCTCTGCCAAAGTAAACAATTTTGTGTCTGTATAGAATTGGATTTGGTGGGGAAAAGAAGCAATGGAACATTCCCTCAGGTTATATTAGTTGTGGATTGCACCATCTCCTGAAGAAAAAGGGCATGAGGTGAGGACCTATGTTTTCCTGGGCTACTCTGTGACCTTGGGTAAGGCTTTTCATACACACAGCTGTATTTTGACTGTCATTAAAATGGAAATAAAAATATCTTGCCTCTTTTTAAGCAATGAGTAAGAGCTTTAACACATTTCTGTGGATTAATGCTTTGGAGTCTATTCCCCACTTCTTTTTGAAAACAAGGTCAAGGTGCTTTGAAGTCATAAGAGAAAAACCTCACATATGTGAGTGACTTTTATTTTACAGGTAATGGAAAGTCTTACCTGGATCTTCCCTGCTGAGGCTTGGAATTTAGCAAAGGAAAAAGATACCTGTAAGACTTGTCAGTGTACTGAACCATAGTGGGAGGGCAGGAGGAATCTGAAGAAGATTTTCAAGCACTAAGCATAAAAATAAATGACAACATAAAACCCATGTGAAGAAGGAAGAAAGCATTTACATTTGTCTTATTTTCAGATACAAATAATTGCATCCAATAACCCTCACAATCATGCAATATGTAGCTTTGTAATCAAAAATAATTTGAGGCAAGTTTTTGAAAACATTCCCAGTTTAACATCAAATAGTTGCTGTGTGATAAGAACACAGATGTGTGGGAGGCCTTTCAAGGAAAAAAAAGTCTATATGTGAGGCAAACTTTCAGCATTAGGACAACTCACTCTGTTTACAGCAACATTTTTCTGTTTATAAACAACATTCCCCATAAGGAAACGGGAATTCTGGAGAAGTGTGAGAGAGGACATAAAGGAATTTCACAATATAACAGTTTTTATCTTTAGGCCAGTCACAGATGTCTGCAGTTATAGACCAGTTTTCCTACCGTGATTTTTAATAGTCCCATAAACTCAATTTCCCCTCCTTATTTCTCCAGTAGATACAACCTCTATCCTTAACCTAAATATTAACAGGATTATATGGATGTTTTTTGTTGCTTCAAGTGTTTCTGGAATATTGTGAGTTGCTTTGTGACACTAGAATAAAGAATTTTTTAGCAGATCAGACCAAGGCAGCATTTGGAGAGAGTTACCACACGTGTGAACTGCTCTGCAGTAACCACACTTTTGGAACCAGCAGCTAAAAGCCCTATGTTTTGATCGCAGTAGCTGTGTGTCGTGGCCATTTAGCCCTGGTTGTTCAGGGAAGAACTGTTACTAACTAACATTGTGCGAGGGGAAAACGCGCAGCACCGGATTGAAGAGCTTTCTCCGCTCAGCAGGAGCGGGGCCTGCCCTCACGAGGTTGTGCAAAGACCATCTGCCGGTTGCCTTCCGAGCGCAAATACAATCTGTTACTTTGTCAAAATAAACAACAGATCCATCGGAGGAGCATTTATGGAGTGCTGACTGCCTGACTCCCCAGCTATGGGAAAACCAGGCTGTTTATGGCACTCTCGTTTTGGGCCAGAAGCTGTTACATCTCAAACACTGTAATGAATATTTCATAGCTCTGGCACCCGGAGTTACAGCTTCACTCTTGCTCGGGCTGGCAGGTGTCCAGGGTTGTCCTGGCAGGACAGGAACGTCAAGTGCTCCAAAAGTATATAATCCAGGAATTTGATCAACCAGTGTGAGCGCTGCCCTGTCATTGGGATAACCAAATGCGATCAAAGCTGATGTGTGTCAATATCGTGGCAGCAGAGCACAGATGTAATAACCGAGTTCTGCAAATACTCTGTACTTCTGTAAGGAGTTGTTTGAGCCCTTTTTAACCCTTCCTCCACCCTCCATGCTGCTTATGGGGTTGTTATGCTGCTAGGTTGGGCACAATGAGCCAGAAAAGCTAAATCCCAACTTTCTGGAGAACTCTCTTTTAAGTAGCATTTTTTAAATTAGACCATCCCACATACTTCAGAATTTAACATTTTTGTGTGTGTCAGATTCTAACATATGGTGTACAAAGTAGGCTCACTAGCTGCAGTCAGATTAGTTATAATGTGTAAGCAATGAGAGAGGTCTTTCCTGCCCAAACACCAACTGACTCTAAAGGTTTAATGCTAGTTATTAGCTTAAAAAAAAAATCAAAAATGCATTTTCATCCTTGTTATTTAAAAGCAGGTTTTAATCCTTGTTACTTGTTCTTAAATGCAGCAATGCAGACTGCAGGGATCATTGTCTTAACTCAATTGTTCCTTAGTCATGTAAGTAAAAATATTAATCAAATAAAAATATCCGAGTCATGTTTAATCACAATAATCATGACTTTTTTTTTTTTTTTTGGTCTAATGGATATTTACAAATATATCTTTCAGAATTATGGAAACTCTAGATCTGTACTGCAGGGGACATCCTTACCAAACTGGCATTTCACATACGAAATATATCATATTTCCCACTTCTCACTGTTGTTGCAAAGGGGTCTTATATCTGATCAATTTTTCTGTGCCAGCAGAGATGTCTGTCCCCTCACAGTTACACTCTTTGGTGCAGTTTGGAGCAGTGACACACATTTCCTTCCTCCTCTGGTGGCACAAACAAGCACATCGTCTCCCTGGATGGGACCATTAAGCTCCAAGTTCTTTTCAGAGAAGCTTCACAGGTCAGGACTGCACAGCACTGCTTGTTTGTCTGCTTTCGTAATTGTTCCTGAGTTTGATTTAAAACAAGACAATTTACTTCATTAACTACTTTTCCTGCTAACTGCAGAGCCCTTAGGGGGAAAAAAAAATCTCAATTGTGACATAAAAATAAATAAAAATGCCTTGAAACAACCCTACCCTTGGGTCTGAGGCAGCACACAGCAAACCTCCAGAACGTTTATTTATTGCACCAGTGCAAGATTTCACTACTCTCCCAGGGTACAGCAATACACAGCCAGGAGCCATCATTTTTATGAAGCAAGAGTGACCTTGAAGCCTTCAGGAATGATAAAAGCCATAAGTTTCAAACACATTCTCCATTCCAAGCTGGAGCATCGAAACACGTCCGTTTTCCTAAATAACTTGATGCATCAGTCACTGCTAAACATCCAGATCCTTGAGGGTTTTTCCCTTCGCTCCAAGGCTTATTGTATCTGTACCCAGAGGAGGTCAGGAGCAAAGCACACACTTTTGCCGTCTGTTCAGGAGCTAATGGTTGTTCAGCACGTGGCTTTCATTCCAAGGAACACCACTGTGATTTGGGCTCACACAGATACACACCCAGGCACACAGGAGAGCAGGAGGGGAGGGAGAGGATGTACACCTGAGCTGAGGGCAATGGAGAGATGGATGGACACCTTCTCTTTGGTTCTGTCTGCTTTGAGGAAAGACAGACAATACCCACGGCTGATAATTATGATCATTTTAGCATGGGCATGACTAGAGAATCAGTCTCTACTTTCCTCTGGTCTTCCCTCTCTCCCCTCTTTGCCCTTGCCCTCTCAGTTCCACAGTTAGTGTGCCTTTGTGTTTTATGGCTGTTTAGTTAACACTGTAAGAGCGGGCTCCAGTAAGGCTGTTCATGCCATGGGAGGGCGGGCTCAGGCTGCCTTTCTCCCAAGCACATTCCCCAGTGTCCAGCACTGTGTCTCAGCTGTGGTTGCTGCCTTTCCCTTAGCCCAGGCACTGGGAAGGACTCTGCCCTCTCTACAGCTGTCCAGTTTCATAGTGACAACAGTACTTTGGAGAATTCTGCCCTGCTAAATCGGTTGACATTTCCCACCGAGTTCCATAGTTCCCGGGCCTGATGGCAAACAGCAGATGGCGCGGTTGTCTCAGGATATGAGCCTAAAACCCCAAATGGGAAGTGAATTCACCTGTACGTGGATTTATGGGTTATGATCTGCATGTGGTGTCATTTACAAAAGACAGAAACTAGTTGTACGTAAACAGGGATTTTTATAAAAGGGAGAAGAAGGTATGTACATCACAGGTAAAAAATGCAGACTGTACTGGAACATGTATGTATGTGTTTAATTTATAAATTAAAACAGAAACCTCACTAAAGCATTGACACAAAGGAGTAAAGCTTCAACAGAAGGCACGGGCAATTCATCAGACTCCTCTTGGAAAACAGTGGGATGGCACTTCAAATATTATGTTTACCATTACAACAACTACCCAGCCAGAGACATTTTTCGTTGCCTCCTGCTTGTTTTTTAGCCCTCCTTTGATTTTCCAGAACTCCATTCCCCAAACTAACTTGCTCCTGCAACCTTTGTTCTCCTGATGTCATTACTAGGCTGATGTATTTAAAATAGCAACATACAGCTCTGCAGAGCAGTTTTTATCACAGTATAAACCAGCACCTCTGAACAACATCAGCACTAGTTTCTTTATCTGATAAATCACTCTACTGAAGAGTGATTCAGTGAGTCCTGTAAGTGTGCCCTTAGTTTCCAGGCCAGGTGTGGTTTCACTGAAATCACTGGATTAATTAATGGACACAGGAAATGGGTAACTGAGGCCCAGCATTGTTCTGACATTAAAATTCCTAAGCTATTTTTCATTCATATGGATGGAAATCATTTACCTGAATCCCTTTCCTCATGTTGAGTGCTTAGTCCTTTAGTGTCTTTTTAATATTTTATCACACTGAGAAAAGATTTGCTTAAAAACTTAATAGTGGAAAAATACTTACTAACAACCCCAAAATAATTACAGTATTTCAATTCTGTTATGATCAATAACTCCTTATGGCACAGCTATCTCTGTTTTTCTAAAATATTGCTAGAAATGGCCAACATGGAATTCAGAATTCCCAGGACTGAAAACCAAAACAAACGAATGTTATCATACTAACAAGGAAAAAGTGAAAGAAGAAAATCAAATGCTCATTTTGGCTGAAGAAGCTCCTGCTGAGGTTGAAAAGCTTGTGGGAAAGAACAGCCCTTTGTTCTCTTCATTCTAGCAATTACTTAGTGTAGAATTGTCTGGAAGGCCAAAAAATTCCAAATAGCTAAACTATGTCAAAAGGAGTTGAAACAATGTCTTAGAAACAGCACAATGACAGTAAAAATTCCTGGTAACACAAAGTATACACAGCACACACATTAATGAATGCCAAATAACATTGGATATTCAATACACAGGCTGAAAAGTTCAATGTAAAAACAAAAAAAAAAAGTGTAAAAAGTGTATTCAGATTTAAACATCTTAATTAATCAGTGTTTGTAAGAGAAACACAAAAACAATGCCCTGTCAAGGTCTACTCATAAATCATCACTTTACTACAGCTATAATAAATATTCTACAGTCTATGCCACCAAAGGGGAAAAAAAAGTAAAATCTCTGTTGTAAAATTCAAGGAAACCAGTTATGTAACAACATAAAGTTGCTTCAGAAATCATCCTCCTGCAGGGATTAGGTCAATTTGGTGTCCAATTGATGTACAGATGAGAAACAGGAGCAGTGCCAATGACACAAGCATTCCAGGTGAAATCAGGGAGGGGGTTTCTATTGCTCTGAGGACCCTGTCAAGGGGAGAACAACTTGACTTCTTGGTGCAGGAAACTGCCCTGGATGGGGGACACTCCCACAAGCCAAGGCATCGGGAGCAATACCTCCACACACACAGTGGGAGTGTGGCCTGGAACTCAGGCACTGCCAGCGGGAGAGCCCGTCACCTCTGCAGGCCATCCCCCGGGATCAGGAACTCCCTCCCATCCCTGCACTGCCCAACATCTGGAGCCA